TTTCACACGCTCCCCTGCATGCAGACCCTAATTGGCCAGGGGAGCAGCCCTGGCCTCCGGGGGCTGGATCAACCCGCTTGGTGGGCCAAATCCGGCCCACGGAGGCCCTTTTGCCCACCCTTGGTATATGGATTAGATTTTAAAGTAGCTTCACAACATGACTGACTGAAGTAATAATGGTGACAAAGTATGTTTGTGTGCTCTCACCACACGAGTCAAAAGCAAAGGGAAGGCATGTTAGCAGATAGCTCACACTTGGCAGTTCTTGCACATCTGCAACATCCACTGAAAGAAGTAAACAGCCTCAACCACCACTCAGCTGGAAAAGGACTTCAGGCTCCCTACAACAACTTGTTCTTTGCTTTAAATAAAAAAAAAAAAAAAAAAAAACTAGGAGAAAAATTATATACTTTTTAAAGCATCTTGAAGAAGGCCACATTATGCCCTGGTTGTTATTTAACATCTTTATGGCTTAATATAGCTAGCTAATGTTTTGCCAGTTAAAGCTGGTAACACCATAAATTTAAAATTAGTTTACAGGAGAGGGCGGGAGGGAAAGACTCAGAAAGGATAAGTGGTGTTTGTCGATTTTTGGCAGGATGGGGCACCATTTAGTCTTTTTTTTTTAAAGCTTTTCTCCAAAAACAAAGTTTCCCCCAGGATGTGTTCCTCTACCACTGAGCATCAATGAAACTGAGTGCAGAGTGTAATAAGGTTTATCAGTCTCCCTCCCCTTTATCCATCTGTTCTGTTTGCAGAATGAACTACGGTCAACAAAATCCCCTAATAATCCTCTTTGCTGAACTCTGGAGAAGCAGTTTGGTCAAAACTTTGCTTGCCAAATGCTGACCAACAACTGTTCCCAGCTGCCAGCAATTACTCACTGTAAGCCTTTAAATACACTAAACTTCTACCAGTGTTTTTCATGGAATCAACAGTGTTCTGGCTCTTTTACTGCTCAAAACATTATATGTTCCAAAAAGGACAAACAAGCCCCACCTCCTCCCAAAAAGGTGGAGTCAAGGGCCCTTGAAGTCAACAGCTGTTCTGCCCCTGAGGCAATATCTGCCTGTCTCAGAAAACTGAAGAACTAAGAGCACAGCTATGTACTATTTACAGTATTTCAGAGTATGATAGCAGCTTATAGTAGGGACTCATGGAGAAATAATGCTCTAGAGTCCCTTATTCTGTATCATATATATTCTAGGGTTTGTAAGTCAGTAGCAGCAGGATTTAATTGACTGACTTGAGTCAGTATTCAACATCCAGATAATGTATAAATTAAAAACAAACAAAACACCACTTAGTACCTGCACTCTGGTTTTCCTCTTCAAAGACCTTCATAAATAATACCTAATCCTCATGTCAGATGGGGAAAAACAGGTACCGATTTGACCAGGTAAACTAACGATTGCAACCAGGATTTCCTGGACTTCTTGATTCCCAGTCAGGTGCTTATGCTATTGCCCCACACCTGTGCACCTATGCTAAATTACAGTATCCTACTTAAAGAATTAACCTTGATGTGCTAATGAGTTTGACTGGTCCAGGCTAGATCCTAGCTTACCTTTATGAATAGTGGTGCCAGTCTCAAGACCAAGAAGTTGACCCTCTGCTATGAATACAGCACATCCTCACCCTAATTTTATGTTACTCTTGGGGGAATTCTGTATCACTGCATAATTTTTCAATAATTAATGTTGTGCCTACACAATTTCCTTTCCTCCACAGAAACAGGCTGTAGTGCCACTGGCCGCCACTAAGGGCTGCTGGACTGGCAAAGCCCAACTCACACATAGAAGACACTGTGTGGGCAAGGGGGATGGGGAGGATGAGAAGGGGAAGAGAAACAGGAACTTGCTTGTTATAGAGGTTTCCTTAATTTCCCTCCAAGAATAGAGAATCGTGTGTTTGTATTGTTACAGGCATATTTGCTGACAGGAATTCTGAAATGATACCACTTTCTATTATTTTGGTAACTTATGTGCTGATATTTTGACAAAATTTGCAGAATTTTAAAATACTGTGCATAGACTGTTTTTGGATGCATAATACTCCCAGAAATAATAAGTGTTTGTATACTGAAGACAGATAAAATGTGCAAACAATGGCCTGCACATGCAACAAATTATCTTTGACAATTCACACCCAAAAAATATGGAAGGCTGAAGAGCATTTCAGAAATATAAAAGTCTCATTGCAGTGTGAATACTGGGTATGAAGTGTCCGAGCCTTTTCTTAGATATGATTGTTCCACACCAAAGACTGGTTATTTTCTAAAACTGGGGAGCAGAAAGAGCTCTGGAATTTTGTTCTGAGTAAGGAGAGGTTAAGGTTATTTTCTAGAAATGCAACTAGCCTTTCCTTTGTTCCTGTCACAGCAAGTATGAGAAATCTCTTCCTACTAACAATGCCACACTACTTTTCTTTTCTCCCATGAGCGGCTCAGAAAATATTCATATGAGCTTAATGACATTAAGGGGCAAAATGAATAATTTTTAGTGTTACACCAAGCAGGGTAAAGGAAAAAACCATTTAACATTTTAATATGTTATATCACATAATTGGGTTTACACACAGAAACATTACAAAACCACGTTGAGTACTGCAAGGCAAACATGAAACCTAGAGAGCAACTACTTTTATATTTCATTTTGAATTATAGTCTCTCAGAGGTGAGAAGATTAGGGGTACTCTCTCCTGGTTTCTCTGGAATCTTCTGCTACTCCAGGGCCTGATCCAGCAAAGATGGATAGATAGGTCTGATGAAATTTCCAACACACATATACTAGCCCTATGGTGAGATGGCCTGTCCAAAATAGTCAAACAGCAGAGATCTCTGGAGTAAGCTCTGAGAGGGGAGGGGAGGGGAGGGGAGGGGGAAGGTTGAGCAAATAAAATCCCCATCTCCCAAACACGCCAGTTCCTTATGCCACAAATGTTCCTCACTACTCCTTTTGAATTCACCAAGGAGTCCTGCGGTACTTTAGAGACTGAGGCTACGTCTATACTGTCACTCGCACTGACTGCAGCACAATGTCCAGCCCATGTGCAACCACATGGTGCATTACTGTGTGGCACATGGACTCAGCAAGCCCATCATTTTGAAGAGACAGTGCCAAATTACAAAATAAGCTATTTTGAAATTGAATCAAGATAAGCTATGCAATTTGTGTAGCTCAAATTGTGTAGCTTTTTTCGAGCTATGGATGCAATGTAGACACACCCTAACAGATTTATTATGGCATAAACTTTCATGGGTAAATCTACTTCATCAGATGAATTGTAATGAAAATTATGGAGCTGGGAGTATTATAACAAAAGAAGGGAGTTACTTATCAAGTGTAGGACCAGTGGATATCACTCACAGCAGCTGATGGGAGGTGTGAATACCAAGAGGGAGAACTGCCTTTGTAGTGAGAACTGTTCTAAATCATTTAGTCCTAATTTGCTGACAGCTTTTGCACAGGAAGCTGGACTATGTTCCCCTTCAAAAAAAAAAAATCTCACTATTAGTCAACTTTGACAGAACTTTCCCTGCATCTACATGCAGTTGGCTCAGTGTGTTCACACTATTTTGCCTGCAATCCCAATAGCAACCGCAGAGTGTAGAGTGATTGCTTGTCTTCTTGGGTGACCATGCAATGCTTCCAAAAGGTAGTTGCCAATGAGAGAAAAAAGTCCCTTGAGAATAGGAAACAGTCTGACTATTAGCCCTCATTCACAACTGTGTGCACCAGAGATAAGTGCCACCCAACAGACATTTATAACAAGCAAAGATCAGATGTTAGGTTATTAAAGTACACTCAATAGCATTGTTGTATAAGTAGCAATTCATAATGTATCCGGCTGTACTACATTAAATCAGAAGTAAATAAGGTGGTGATGAGAAATTGTTATTAGGACTTACTTTTAAGCTCTGATGAGTACGCAACATGTACCTTTATTTCTATCTTGTTCTAATGACTTTATATAAAGAGAAATAGAGGATGGGGGAGTTTTGGGCTAAATTGTCACCATGTCTTGCAAGAGCCCATAATAGTTCCCATTGTCGTATTCCTGAGAAGTAAGCTAGTCATTTACAGGCCTAAGGAAGTATAATTGCCAATGAGAAAGCAATGATGCACGACATTGTACTTCTTTTTTTAAACTACCAGCAGAGACTCACTTCTGCTGAGTGCAAGCTTCAAATTAAACAAAACAGAAATATTTTCTCTTTGATGTTAAGAAACTATGGACTATTAGCTCAAGTCTGTTTCTGAAGGATACACTTACCAAAGATGCCTCTACCAGGTCTAACTTGTTTCTGGTCCTACAGGTACATCTATACTGCACAGCTATTTCAAAATAAGGTATTCCAGAACAGTTATTCTGAAATACCACGTCTACACTGTAGGGAAGCCTTAAAATTAGTCCGAGGCAGGCTTCCCCAATGTAGAGGTGCTATTTTGAAATAAGCTCTCTCAATTTAGAGCCCCAGGAGGCACTAGGGAGGAATAATTTAGAATGGCCCTGCTTAGGGGCTATTTTCAAATAGTAGCAGTAGAGCATCCACACATGCCTTATTTCGAAAAAGCTCTTTCAGAATAGGCACTCTCGTGGAATGAAGTTTACAGAAGTCAGAATAAGCCATCCGTTACTTTGAAATTATTTCAAAATAACGGAATTGCTGTATAGACGCTCACATAGTTATTTAGAAATAACGCTAGTTATCTTGAAGTAGTGCAGTGTAGATGTACCCATACTGCGCATTTCCTTTACACATTTGCATCAGCCCTGTGAGGAGTCTGTTCCCATACTTGTTTATTACTGTCAGTAGTAGTGCTGGAAGCATTTTTAATAGTAGTGGGCTGAGAGCCACTGAACCAAACTACAAACCCTGTATGTGATGGAAACCACTTCATGCCCAGTACCAGCACCTATGGCTACCTTTTGTAACACCTTTTTGACTTCATGTGAGTAATAAGAAAGAGCAAGGTAAGAGATTTATTGCTACTTACCAAACCTCTTGTAACCGAAGGACTGCACCTCCTCCTCTTCTGCAAAGTCGTCTGCAGAAAGACAGATGCACAGAGTTAGTGCTAAGATTAGATATGAATGCACAGTATAGGACAACAGGTTACTGAACATTGTATGTGAAAGGTTAATTGGGTTTATCAATATTACTGTTCATTGGTATATGAAAATATCACCACTTTCCCCAGTCTTTGGCTACTGCATGATACTTGGATCCTTTTTCCTTTGAGTCACCAGCAGAAATAACCAATTGATAAGTTAGCACCTGATGGCTGTTCATGGACTTATTAAAATTCCTGGTCATAGTACAGATTTTACCAGACAAATCCCTCATCACAACTGGCACTTAGTATATCTTGGTGGGCAGTCTCAGCAAGGCAAAATAGGCACCAAGACTGAATCACCTTTCAATTTGTACAGAGTCCCCTCCAGGTCATGGCAGAGGCACGTTAGGAAGGTCTTTGAGGAAAGCTTACATTACTGCTTGCCTGGGCTGTGCTCTTCCTGTGATAGAGAAGGCTTCTGAAGCTGGGGCTATCAATCCATCAGCTTTCCTGAACACTAAATTCACTTGAAGAGATAAACCTCATTCAGATGTGGGCAACTGAACTGACAAGTTGATCAAGGTCAAAAAGGGTAACAAAAATAAGTGTATTTAATCCTTTTCAGCTTCACTTTGGCACAGGGAGCAAGAGGGTGGTATTCAGGCCTGTGGCTTATTAATTTCTTCTCCCCACTCCCACCTACAAGTAGCAGCACAAAGGAAATGGACCATGGTCAACAAATAGGCAATATCACAATTTCTCTCTTTTTAAGATATGTATCTAGCGTCCCTCCATCAGCCCTGTTCTTCCACCCATTCCCAGCAAGGCCCTTCTCTAGAGACCCAGAACTCACTCAGCAGCTGAATTCCCAGCCATGGAGCCCTGGCCCAGCAGTACTTCCTTTATTCTAGTCTCCTCCCTACTCTGTGGAGAAAGCAGAGTGGGGAGCCTCCCACACTGCTAGTTACCAGCACACAGCCTGGGAGCAGGGAAAGAAGGGGTAGCCTCATGTCTGTCTTCCCATTTGCAACCCCATTTCCCACTGCATTGAAGCAGAGCTTCCGTCCTTCCAACATCAACAGTGTGCCCAGGAGTGTGAACATACCTGCGTCTGGAGCAATTACAAATCTTCAGAAGGCGCTCACCCTAACTCAGTCCCCTAGGAGACTGCTATCACTCTGGGTGTGCCGACACAGACTGCCATTGCTAGCAAGCACATAAGCACACTAACCCCAACCTACATCTTTCCCAGGACAAGTTATAACAGAAAGAAGTAAACAGGAATACCAGCCAGTATCTGGACAGATTACCAGAAATTTTCATTCAATCAAGTGCAGCCACAAAATATATACGATATACAGGCCCCAAACAATCCCTGGGGCCCACCGCCTGACGAGGATCAGTAGATTCTTTGTGATTCAGTCCAATCACCTATGAGTCAACCAGCCAGGTCTGCATCACAGAAATCAGGCTGACACTGGCAGTCACTGATACCCCACCTTGCCCTCCCATCCCCACCTCCTCCTGGATACTTTCACTACACAGCCAGATCCAGAGAAGATAAATCTGGAGATGAAGCATAGTTGTTTCCCTTCCAGGCTCAAGTTCAGGAAAAATTCACTCACATCAAACTACTTTGAGGGCATCCACCACTTACTCTTGCCCAGATATCAGACTTATGTGGGCATACTACTAATCCATTAACTCCCAAACACCAATGGCTCCCACAAGAGTTGGTAGAGATATTGCCTGGTTTGGTGATGTTCACAGAATGCATCACTTTGCAGGACTTAACATCCACACACTGGCAAGTACAGCTCAAAACCTACTACTCTAACTCTTCCACCTTACATTTCTTACAGATAGCTGTGTAAGAGGTGGGCGCTGTCTATACCCTGAACTGGATCCTGAGTTGGAGGTATACGGAAGGAATGCAAGAACTTGTGGCAGCTTCCTAAAAGTCTTTCCATGGTTACAAGAAACCGCTTCCCCAAACTCTCCTGCATCCTGCCAGATTTCAGAATTTTATACATTGATTTATTAGCATCCTCTTTGGTGGGGTAGAGTTTTCAAAGTGACCAGAAATCAGTCAACATCCAGCTTCTTCACATGAGCACTGTTGGGGCATTCACTACACAGAGCTTCAGGAGAAACTGGCACTGATGTTCACAAAAAAACGCTATATAACAGGCTTCTGAGCAAGACTGAACTCATTTCTCTTCCCATTTTTCTATCATGGTGGACAACACAACCACTTACCCTGTCACTTCAGACTACAGTTTTGGTTTCATGTTTGGCTTGGCCTTCCACTTTGACCCATATGCCCAAGCCAGTTCTAAATTTTGCTGCTTCTTCCTATACAACAGCTAAGATCCCATCATTCCTCTTGGCCAACATTTTATGCACGTCCTGGTCATCTACTGCAATCGCCCCTTCTCTTGCCTCAGTGCCAAAACTGTCTCCCTCAAAGCTTTTGTAAGTGCTGCTGCTAAGACTATCATTTTTGTCTGGTCGCTAGGAATAGATACTGTCAAGTTGATAAGTGTAGAAATAAGTTCTCAAAGAACCCTTGGGGGAGGGAGGGAACCACACACCCAGATACTTAGACGTGATAGACTTTTAGTCTGTCTTCCCCAAAAGGTAAAACTTAAATTTATTATTGTATTAATTATCTTAGAAGGACAGCTGCTAAGACTATCATTTTTGTCTGGTCGCTAGGAATAGATACTGTCAAGTTGATAAGTGTAGAAATAAGTTCTCAAAGAACCCTTGGGGGAGGGAGGGAACCACACACCCAGATACTTAGACGTGATAGACTTTTAGTCTGTCTTCCCCAAAAGGTAAAACTTAAATTTATTATTGTATTAATTATCTTAGAAGGACAGGCTG